TACCGTGTTACCCTGAAACAAGCCGCCTTGTCCCCCGAAGAACATAACGCACTGATTCACGCATGCCACAAGCGATGTGCCGAGCGTACACTCCATGTCCTAGAAAAGAATGGATCGATCTTCATCAAGTTGGGCCAGCACCTCAGCAGCATGGGCTACCTGCTTCCCATCGAATGGACCTCGACCTTCATCCCGCTCCAGGACCGATGCCCCGTCTCGTCAATTGAGTCAATTGACGAGTTGTTCCGGAAGGACACAGGGCAGAGTATGAATGAGTTGTTCGCCTCTTTTGAAGAGAAGCCTATCGGTGCCGCATCGCTGGCACAGGTGCACATTGCTACTTTGAAGGAAACTGGACAGAAGGTCGCTGTTAAAGTGCAGCATCCCGCGCTGGACGAATGGGTGCCGTTGGACTTGGCTTTGACTCGATTCACTTTCTCCATGCTTAAGCGCTTCTTCCCTGACTATGACCTGGAATGGTTGTCTAAGGAAATGGACTTCTCGCTGCCGCAAGAACTGGACTTCCGCATGGAAGCCCAGAATGCTACTCATGCCAGCGAGTACTTCAAAAAGCACACCGATGCCCCACTGGTCATTCCTGAAGGTTTGTAATGCTGCCGACTCTGTCTTTATATGTATAACCTGAGGCTAACTAGATTCAAGTGATGTGGTCTCAAAGGCGTATCCTCGTCATGGAGTACATTGCAGGCCACCGCCCCGACGACCTGGCGTATCTAGACGCCAACCACATCGACCGTGACGAAGTCTCCGCCGCCCTCGCGCACATCTTCAACGAAATGATCTTTGGCGACAACGCTCCACTCCACTGCGATCCTCACGGCGGCAACATCGCCATCCGTCCGAACCACACCCGCTCACACCCCAACTTCGACGTCGTCCTCTATGACCACGGGCTCTACCGCAACATCGACCGCGACCTGCGCCGGAACTACGCCAAGCTGTGGCTAGCCGTTATCGACGGGGACGTGCCACGGATGCGCGAATTTGCATACAAGGTCGCCGGCGTCACAGACAAGCAGTTCCCGCTCTTTGCCAGCGCCATTACCGGTCGAGACTACAGCGTTATCACGAAGGAAAGCGTCGTCTCCCCGCGGACGGCTAAAGAGAAGGATGATATCTCTGGTGCATTGGGTGAAGGCATGCTACAACAGCTGGTTGTCTTGCTAGGCCAGGTTCCACGGATTATTCTTCTCATCTTGAAGACCAATGACCTCAGTATGTACTTCGCTTTCGACCCTCTATTCTTTGGATATCATCGACTAATCCCTCCCCAGCTCGCAGCCTAGACGAAAACCTTCACACACGCCAGGGCCCAATGCGCTCCTTCCTCATCCTCGCGCGATATGCCACACGAACCGTTTTCGAAGAGCAGTTAGAGCTCATCAACGAGTCTGGCGGTGTCTTCCGCAACTTCTTCCGCTTCCTGTGGGCCTACGCGAGCTACCTTCGCGTCGAGGTCAAATTGTCGGTTTATGAGACTGTGTTGTCCTTGAAGTCTCGCTTCGGCCTCCGGAGCGGTTAGAAAATGTTCTTTTTTTGGGAGGGATAGCTTGCGCTCGGTGTCTTTCTTCGTTTGTTCCATTATATCCCTTGTTTTTTCCCTTGGTTCATTGGCACGGATTGGATTGTCTTGAGTGGTCTGTCTGTGCATCAGCGATGGCGTTCTATATTTCTTTTCGCATATGGCCTCTTCTGCTCTTGACTATATTGTTGAAGGATGGATTGTGCTATGTTTCGGGCTTCGTTATGCGGTGTTCTCGCAGATCCAGTGTGGTCTTGTACAAATAGATAGATTGTGGATAAATCATGAATCATAGACTGCTTCTGATATTACTTCTAGATCTACTTTTACAGAGGGTGACTGTTCTGGGTTCACTGTTTCATTGGAAACTATCAAGGCGCGCTGTTTTCGAAAGAGATGAGAGTATCGATCAAGGATCCCACATACCGAGGCGCCATCGCAGAAAAAAAAAAAGAAAAAGACAAAACGTATGAGAACGTGAAACTAAAAAAAAAGAAATATGTACATCAAACAAATGGTCAATTTGTTCGTTTTCATCTCATCCATCGTCATCTCTTGGCACACATTTTCAGCGACACCAAGTACAACGAACTCCAAGTGCACCCGTTCTTGTCGATTCTCTCCGGCAAAGCAACAGCATCCTTGATCAAATGATTGTGTATTAAGATTGTGTATTAAGACAACCTCGGAATTAAAAATCGCAGAGTTCGTGAAACGGAACGAGTGGGGTTGCGTCATTCAGATGGAGAATCCATCCGAGAGCGTCACACCGTCAAATCAAATCAAAAATGAATTTAAAGGGAAGCAGAAGGGCTGTTGACAGTCTCAACCTTAACATCGGGAATGACACCGCCCGTCCCGGACAGATCTGTGGTACGGGTGTTGGGGTTCTTGGTGTAGTAGTTGGCAATGGCAGACTTGATAGCGTCCTCTGCGAGCATGGAGCAGTGCACTAAGATAGAAATGTTAGCATGTGAATCAACCGAATGCATCAGAGAAGAGAGACATACGCTTGACAGGAGGCAGACACAACTCCTTCGCCACATCGGTATTCTTAACCTTGCCAGCCTCGTCGAGGGTCATACCGCGAACGAGCTCTGTCAGATAACTGGATGAAGCGATAGCACTACCACAACCGAAGGTCTTGAAGACGACATCATCAATACGGCCAGAGTCCTTATTGACGCGGATCTGCAGCTTCATGACATCGCCACAGGCGGGTGCACCGACGAGACCGGTACCCACGTCCTGGTCGCCCTTTTGCATGGAGCCAACATTGCGGGGGTTGTTGTAGTGATCGAGGACCTTCTCGTGGTATCCTCTGCGCTGTTGGGCTGGGGCAGGAGCAGCACGGCGGATGGCGGGTTGAGCGGACTGCAAGCCAGTGAGGGGAGAAAGAGAGCTGCGTGTCGCGACGGAGCCGACGCGAGGAGCAACAGTGACTAAACGCTTGAACATTTTGGATTGAATTATGATGGGTATATTTGATGGGATATGGGTATTGATTTGCACCGGTGATATGTGTTGGGAGGCAAAAAAAAGATGGATCTGATAGGGAGGAAGTGATGAATTCATAAATAATCTGATCGGCTCTTAGATAAGCACGCTAGTCCTAATGGGGTAGTTCCTTTGGCCGGATCCGCCGGTCGTCGGAGATGACAAGATGACGTCCGTTCCTCCCTTCCTCAGTCTTCGCTGGATTTAAAATGATGTGCGGGATGAGAAAAGTTGGGGTATTCTTTCTCTGTGCCAGTGAGAGTGCGTGCTGGTGATATCAGTTCCAAGGGGTGGCGACCTTTGTGCACCACTGAAGTTCTCCGCGGTGGACTCGCCCGGTCAACGTCTTGTTTTCCGCCTCTCCTTGGGCCAATTGTTGGGCGATGATATCAAATAGTGGATAGGAGTGATAGGCGTAAAGTCAACGCTGGGCGATCAATCATCATTTTGATGTTCTTAGATTCTTCGACCATTCGAAGACAATGTACGTTTATCGGGCTATTACTATTCCGTACATTCCAGGGTTCCATCGAAATGATACACGCTGGCATTCGGAGATAAAATCGGAGTATAGTTGCTTTCCTCGGCTTATTCCAATCGGGATATCCATACTCCATACGGAGACTCCGTGCCCAGATAGAAAAGTACCGGGCTAACCGTGTCTATCCTCGGCTTTCTCACTGATTAAGCCAACTATATCTATCAAGCTATGCGATCTTAAAAGTATAACAGACTACCCCACAGAGCCAAAAGGCATCTAGACACAACACAAGCTCAACGACCAGTCGTTTTTATTCAATATAAACGACAAATGTCAAGTCCCAGACCCAATGCAAAGCTAAACTAGACATGCAACTTACAAAGCCTGACGAACAGCAGACTTGAACTAAACCAGAAAACAAGTTAGCAATGAGCAGGTAAAAAAACCAGACAACCCTCTACTCTTCCTGCCTAACATACCGGAATAATCTGCGCCTTCTCCATATCCCACACACCAGTAGTGGCATAGATATCATTGTTAAGCAGCTCAAGGACCTGAGCCTCATTCTCCGCAACGGCCATCACCATGCTTCCCTTGAAGGAGGGTGTCTCGCCATCGGCAGGGTGAGCATTGAGCATTGCGCCTGAACAAGAGACAATCCATGTCAGTACATATGCTTGAGAAGCTCCCATACCACAATCTAACTACACAAGGGAAGAAATGAGTCACATACCAGCGGCAACAATTGTGCCGGACGCAACGTGCGGCTTAACGCCCTCGAGGTGGTTACTAAAGACCGCATTAGCACGACTAATCCTCCCGGAGTACGTCGCACGCTGGAAGCTAGATGCTAGGGAAGACTCACGGGCGAACCTCAAGACGCTTCGCCTGCGCACCGGGCTTATCGGGCAGGATGCAAAGGAACTCTCGCTTAGCAGGGGCGGAAGACATATTGCGGGCTTGGAAGGCTAGAATTGATTTTCTAGGTACAAGGGAAGGTTTGATCGACGCTGAGGGGCAGGAGGAGAAGAAGTGTGATGGCGGGACGCGGAGGAATGGTTGCCGCGCGTGGGGGAAAGCGGGGACTTTGCTTTGAATGACGCGGGTGAGACGCAGTGGCATAGTGAAGGGAATGAGATGTTGGACTGTGGACGGGGGTTTCTGTACAAAGTACGCGCCTACAAAGTACCTCGATGTATACGGATTTTTGCCTAAGGGGGCTTTCCTATTTGAGCCGCTTTTATGAGCTCAGGCCCCGGGGCCATCAATGCGTATGTCAGCAAAGTTATAGTGGGTCACGTGCATGATGATATCTTGCTTGGATGATGTCTTGAACTTTACTAGTTGAAGGAAGTCAGAGGAAGTTGAGGTTCAGCAAACCGAATAGCTTCGTTAATATATTCGATGTCTGGTGGTACGGCTCTCCAAAAGTGATGTCACATAGAAAAAGAGACTTCAAGCAAGAAGATCAGCCCTTAGCTAGCTCTTTTGCAACGAGATTCGCAAAGCTGGAATCTCAACACTGACAGCCTGACCACTCTGATCCAGAGAAAAGATGAACTCATCCAAGCCATGGCCTCCATATTGGAGCCTTCCAATATCTAGCCACGACACACAAGTCGCAGTTCCAGCATCCGCCAACTCAGTCACATCCTGAAAGACAGCTCTAAACCCCTGCTTGGAGCCAGATCCAGAATCCTCAACCAGCTGTGTAGGATACAATCGAATACTCAGATCCGCCGGCTTCGCGACACCCACGAGCCCAGCCAGCGTTGCACGAAAGTCGGTATCATTACTGACAAACTCCTGGATATATAAACCAGGCAAGCTATCGTACTCAACAACAATAGACGAATTGATATTGGATACCTTGTATTCGCCACCGAAATTCCGGGCTGCCTGCTCGGTAGCCGTTTCCATCAACGCTGTTAGCACGACATCACCGATATCATCTGCGTGCGCGTTGAGATCTGCTGGGGTGTCGCTATCGGCCGAGAGAATGGCAAAGCCGACGCCGAAATCAGGGACCAGGCCGAGATATGAGCTGTAGAGACTCTTGTCGTTGCCTTCGTTGCTGAGAACTGTGTAGATGTCCACCATGGATGTGTTGGGGTATGAGCCGGCGCTGTATATGACCCATGGGGATCCGACGGAGTTGGCCGGGTTGGAGGTGTGGGAGACTGGCTTGAACCAGCGATTTGTTTGGGGTTTGCTGAGTAGGGTTGAGTTTAGGATTGCCTGGCCGGCTGTTGCGAGATCCTTAACGCTGGAAAAAAGAGATTTTGATCTGCAGTGGGTGCACTGTTAGATTGGTGACTGACATGTGGTGGGGAGAGTATGGACTTGCGCTATGTCTGCTTCGTTGTGTGCTAACCAACCACTAGCTTCTTTGCTCACGGGAATGATTCCTGCAGTGGTGCTGTTTGGCGCAAAGATCGAGATTTCAGCCATGCCTAAGACGTCAAATATGTGATGTAGGACTTTGCTGAAGGGCTTTCCTGTGCGCTTTTCTACTATATAGCCTAGAAGCTGGAATGCCATATTGGAATAGATTGGAGTTTCCCCAGCCGGAGCCACGCGAGTTTGGTTGGCCAGGTGTCGAATGAAATCTATAAAGAGATTAGTATACAGAGAGAGCAGGCAGGGACTTGATTCTCATACCCCTGCTATCACACTTGGAGTCATCACCACAGCAAGGTATGTTGATAGCCTGGCGTGGAGGTAGTCCGGCCTGAGCAGAACTTGTTTGCAAAGTCACATCCGTCGAGCAATCTATTCATGAATTAGATCTGATAACCAACCAGGCTCTTGTCCTACTCACAGTCCCTCCCAATTCCAGACATATGACTCGCGAGCTGACCAACAGTAACATCCTCCCATCTTACACGTCCGTTCATATCTTGTTCCCTTGTAGTATTATCAATCAGCTCGGGGAGGTGCTTGGTAACAGGATCATCAAATATCTGGTCTCCATCTCCGGCAAGAAGAAGACTCCACACAGTGAAGACTTCAGTGAGACCACCAATGCGGTAAATGCTGTCTTTGTCCGCGGTGTGAGATCCTACCGAAGACTGGTTCAATATAGGAGCTGTGTGGTGATATTGCCAGAAGAAGGGCTCGTCTTCGGCATTCCCGGCGTCAGACGAGAACAAGGCGATGCTAAAGGTGGTGTTTGGCGAGGTATCCCCATGAGTACCATTGTTAGTTGCGACTAGCGTGTCAAACTTCTGTGTGAGTTTTTGCAGGGCACTTGCAACGGTTTTGTCGTTTGTGTCGAGGGAAAACGGAGGAAATGCAGGGCCGAGGAGTGGACATGGGGTGAAAGAGAGGGCCGAAGAGAAGAGCAAGAAGAATGGAGCGTAAGAGATTGAAGGCATTTTGAATGAATTGCAATTGATTTGGATTCAAAGCCTTTCTCCATCTATATCTCTTTTATATTTCAGAATCGGATCGGTGATGCTGAAGGTCTTGGCGGGTTGTATAGATCGGCTCGGCGATACAAGGATTTGATCAGCGCAACTTAGAAACTCTGAGTCACAGCACTGTCACTTATTCAATTCTTCTCTCACGTATTTCTCAGTATTTGTTTGATATCTTCCATGTTGGCAATCTTTTGACTGCTAATTGGAGGGTATGGATACGAAGAGGTAAGACAATATTGAGATTTATTCGGTAGCTCCGTAAATGAATCATAATCATACCCAATCACCCACAATCTGTTCAGAAGAAGATGCAAATAGAAAATCATGGGGCATTTGCAAGCCCGATGCCGAAGATGAAAATAAATTCCACAGAGTGACATCAAGGTCCTCCGTGTCGGCAGCCTCCGTAAACCCGTCAAAGTGCGTCGGCTCGGACTCGACGCATAACGTATGCTCAAACTCTTCAAAGTTCTCCTCGCTGGGGGAGTTATCTTCCTGTCTACCATGCCCCTGAAGCCAGTTCTCGATTTGAACTATACGGTTCTTAAAGTCGAAGAAAGCATCTCGAGCGCCTTTCATATCTACATCAGAGGTAGACAACGCCCCAACCCTCGATTTCAATTTTGACAGAGTCTGTAGGAAGGCAGCAGTTTGATCTGGCTTCGAGGCTGCCACGGTATGTCGATAGGTAACTAGCAAGGCAAATGCTATCTGTACCCATTGCGTATTGTTGAATCCGACTTCCTCGTTGGATGGAAGTTCAATGTAGAGATTGAGGATCGAACTGGCTGAGATAAGTGCCGAAAACGACATGTCGTCTTTCCATGAGTCGGAGTCAAACTGGGGTTGGGGATCTCGGTTGGTGATGTTGAGAGCTAGTTGGTATAGGCCAAGCCCTGTCGCGTGGTATTGTATGGCAAGAAGAACTTCATTTACAGGTACAAGTTAGTCTCAAGTATCTTTGAAAGTGAAGTTGGTGTCCTGATGGGACTTACAGCTGTCGTTGATATCGAAGGGTAGATGACGGTAGAATGCATCCAGGTCCGACTTAAGATTCGAGATATACAGCTCCGACCCCGACCCAGGCGTTTCCAAGTCAAGTCCATGCTTTGCAGATAAATTGTCGACCTTTTCCGCAATGAACTGTAGCTGTATCACATAGCTGACGTACTTGTCGTGGGGATATTCGTTGGCTTCGCAGAGAGTCTTGCAACACTCTTCCTGGTACGGGAGACGTAGAATAGTAGATTTCTTCTGCACAAGCATCGCAATCCTAAGCGAAACAACTATCAGCCAATACCCAATAAGCCCCGACAGCAAAGAAAACTCACGATGACGACAAATAGTAGCAGCCCAAAACAGCCCTCTGCTCGTTGCTCCCCCACGAAGGCCGATTAAACGTCCGATCCTGCAGATTATATTGAAGCCCGAAGCGCAACTCTGTCTTCCACGTCCGCGTCTGCGGCGGACGGTCCAACCGCAGATCTATCATGATGCTTATAGCCAGTTGGAGGAATTGAGTATACCGGTGTGGCCGTGAGTAATAATGCAACCTGCCATGTTTTGTCAGTCGCACTCACAAATCCCAAAGTATTGATAAGAATCGGGGTTACCATGCGAGAAACACGAGCAGCCCTTGAAGCAACTCAAAGGAAATCTCCCCACCGATGACCATGCGGGATGCGACGACTTTCTTGACTTCGTCGCCGAGCGCCCGCTGCAGCGGCATGTTCTCGTACGAAGCCGACGCAAGAATTGCTAGGCATAGGAACGGTTTCTCCTGGTGGAGCTGCTTGAAAGATACATCAGGGGGTACAACCACAAATGGGAAGTGTGGGGTCAGTTTGGTCTTGAACGTGCTTAGGTACCTTTCGGCGGTATCCACGTCAAGGAAGTGTCTGTTGATGATCTCTTCAGGCGCAGCATCGCCGTCAGCTAATGATGAACTGCGTGCGCTCGTGCTGTTGTTGTTGTTTTTTGGGCCAGCACGGTCGGCCTTGAGTTCATTGATCTTGGACTCGAGAGCGGCGATCTTACTGGGTGATGGGTTAGAGGTGAATAAACCATGTTTATCACGGAAAGTCAGCTCACCGGTCCTTATGAAAGCCATTAAATCGACGGCCAGTCCGGCGATGTACACATTCTTTTCCCAGACGGCGGCACCTGGGTTTAGATGAGCTCCAGTTTTCTTCCACGGAGAGGTTGTCCGGATTCCTACCGAATACATGCGGCGATATTGGTATCCCGGACACATCGCACCTTAGAGTCTGCGCAACGTTGACACGTTTTAGATACGGGGGTCATCGTGTTGTCTGATGAAGCGAAACTGGAGTTGATTATAGTGGCGATCCTGTAGATCCCATGCCCTCTGGAGTAACAAAGGCAGTATTAGGCAGATCGCAAGCGCCTTCAAACAAAGTGGTTTAGTCGGGATTATATCATTTCATCTTTGGAGATTGGCTCGATCTTGTCAGAGTTAGGCAACTTAGACAGCTTTCGGGGGGCTTAGAGATGATTACGTTACCTGTTAGCCTTAACTCGTTATTTTGTTAGCCCAATTTCTTGCAGGGGTATGCAGATAGGAACCTGTTTGAGTAAGATTGTATCAAGTTATCATTTTAGGACTAGTTAGTTCACTAGTTAACTCTGTATTTACTAAATTAGAGCATACTATTCAAACCTAGTCAGCGGTGGCTTATTGTTTGCCCACATGATATTGCCGTCGAGTGAGACCTAGCGAACTACGTACTTGGCGTGATGCGTAAGATGTGGCTTGTATCTTTGCAGGGAATGAATTCGTGCATTTGATTATATACATGAAACTCGACAGACAGGCGAATATCTGCCTTGCTTCATCCGCAAGAACCTAGACTCATCACACAGCATCTGATTGCAACTGAGTTGGTCTGATATCCTGCTCTCATCTCAAAAAAAAATGTTAAGGACGCCAGCTCAGCATATGACAGAACGGAAAAAAAGGATGAAATAGAAAGGACAATTTGGAGGTGACCTGCGTAGCAGAATCAGAATCAAATAGACTGGGAAACAAGAAAACGACACATGACAATAAACGGTCCGATTCTCTGTCCCTAATGTAGGTTTGAAGAACAGATGATCGAGATTGAATCACTCGAGTGTAATGGATATACACACACCCCCATAACTCGGGATGTGTGTCCCAGACACAGATTCGGTATATCGAGGAAAGAGGCCTGGAGAACCGGCGAACTTTATAGACCTGCGAACCCGCCAAACAACATTTTCCCCCTAGCGCCAAGGTAACAAATACACACACTCCCTAAAACGCGACACGAAGACTCTGTATTAGGGAAGTCATTAGGCTTTCCGTCGCGAAACATCCACCCAAAAAGAGGAAAAAAGGAAAAGAAAAGGGTCAGAAGGGAAAGAAGTGAAGCCGCCGCGGTTCAAAGCCCTTAATGGTAACCATCGGGAAGACAACACACGGGCGGCGATGGAAACTGGTGGATGTTCGGGGACGGGGTGGAATCAAAGATCAACTTGATCCCAATCGAGATTTCCGGCGGACGGAATGCAAAAACTAGAACGCTTTACGGTCTCCAAGGTTGCCGGGCTTCTCGTCGGTATCGATGTGCCAGACCACGTAGTTGGGCAGTCCAACCACCTGGTAGCCAGCGCGCTTGGCCATGCGGGCGAAACCTTCGGTCTCGGCTTGGTTCTCGAAGGCGTAGGGGGGAAGTTGATGCCAGAGCGGTGCACATCGGCCTTGACTAGGATGTTGACACCACCAATTCCGTCAAGCTCCACCTCCTCATCCTTGTTGTTTCGCCAGTCGCCCATGCCGACCAGGTAGGTGCGGCCAGTGTCGTACTCTTTGTAGCCTTCGGCCAGAACGGTATCGGTAGGCAGAGACGCGCGCAGGCGGCGGCCCTTGTCGGATTCGATCCATGAGTTGTAGTCAACTAAGAGTGAAGATGTCAGCAATCTGCATCACACAGGGTGTCGTGGGTATACATACAGCGACCCTCGATATCATGGCCATCCTGGTTGTAACGGTGGAACCAAATATCTAAAAAATGTCACTGTCAGCCAGCTGTCCAACGTCGGATCTAAATTCTAATAAGCACGTACTTGGCACGAGAATATCCTTGTCGTGGGCCATGAAATCCTCCAGGATACGCTCGGGGCAATCGGTAATGTCCACATCGCGCCAGTACACCCAGGAGTGATCGGCCTTCAGAGCCGAATAGAGCAGGTAATTCCGGGCGCGGGCGATAGCCTTGCGTCGTGGACCCTGTGCGGCGAACGAATGTCGCTCTGCCACGGTCATCTCAACGTCGGCACCGAAATCCTTCTGAATAACAGTTGCACTACGGAAGCGAACTTTCTCCTCGGCGTGGTTCTGGATGCGATCGAGTTCAGAGGCGAGGTTTGCGAGGGTGTCATCTTTGCAGTCACCAACGAGGAAGGCCAGATCGATCAAATCGTGTGGGTAGGACAGTTTGTAAAGGAGGTCGAAATATTTGGCCAGGTAAGGAGCGGCGTCACGAAGGGGAGTCAGGATGAGTACACGTTCGCGGTTGAGAGCGGCCTTGGAAGTAGACTTGATGGGGTTCAGGTCGAGATCGGTGATAGTGGTGGAGTTGACTTCGTAGGGTTCGTGGCGGTTGAAGAGGACAGGGGTTTGGGCGTGCGCACTCCATTCGACCATCTCGTTGATGGACATTTCCATGGGTGACTTGCTCGAGCCATAGCAGTAGAAGCTGTTGGCACCAGACGAGTCAGTATGGGTGTCTCGGTTGATCGCGTGTTTCTCTCACCTTTGCATCTCTGATGCAGACCTGCTGACACCGCGCCACATGAGGATGACCAGACCGGTCAAGGCTATGGAGACCAAGAAGCGAGTCCGTGTTAATAGAACGAGGATGGCCCTCCACGGCGGCAATCTGGCCTTGGCCGATTTCCAATTAACACCACCCTTTGGCAACAACATGATGAGAGATGATATGAGGTTGTGTAGAATTCCAGGGGCTATCCCGTCTCGAACACTCGTTGTAAAACCCCCCGAACGAATGTGGAGAAAAGAAAAGGGTCGAGAGGAATGGTGAGGCGAATGGGTAGGGAGAAAACAGAATCGGGAATCGGGGGAAATGCGATTGTCTGCCAAGAACGGGGGGAGATCAGTAAAACAACTACATTTCTTTTTCTACGTGTTATTCTGCAATGTTGATGGGATTGTGAGTAGTTATGAGGTATCTTTGGCTATTCTACTGTTGTATTCAATCGACTAAGCATCTCAAGTTATTCACTTTGTCCCCTTAACCAGTGTGACAGCTGAGAACCCTTTATTTAGCCTGGATCATCTAGAACCTCGTGCACTTTAGGGGCCATTATATCATCGTTTCTTCTTATTATGTTGCCACGCAGGTACGGGTGCAATAAAATGAGCTGTCCATCTACTCCGTAATCTGTGCCCCTATTTAGATATGTAGCCACTTTGCTGCATGGATTGCGTGGACACTGACACAGTACTTTTCCACTCTTAATTTGTCCATCTCTGTCAGTTTTATTACATGAAGTTGTAATTCTTCTTCTATTTCTCCTTTCCTCCTAAAATTCCATTCATTTTAATTGATTACCAGAGATTACAAAATAAAAGCATTGGAAATGACAAGTGGGATCTTCAACACGAGGCTAAAGTGAGACATGGCCTGGACCCGACTATATTTTATACCATCCCTACGCTAGTATGTATAATTCTGAACTACTATTCTACTGTTCTCATGAGAAAAAATACAATTCAATCACAATCCAAAACAGTAGGAGAAAATCGTCCGTTTCTCAGTCTGGACTGGTCTCCACCGGCTGACACCTGAGAGACGGCTGATTCGTTGGAATAGATCCTATATGGCACCGATTGGAATATTCTTTGCATTCTCATGTCTTAGGCCCAATATTCATGGAATTTTGAGTAGATGTCTATACGTTGCACTATCCACTGAAAGGGGAATATATCGCTCCGAGATCAAGCGAGGGGTTGTACTATATCTACATATAACCCTGAATCTATCACTTGCTGCATTGCTGTTTTCTGATTCCTTCTCAAAGTAGGGAAGCATATCAATATAGCTACTAGTACAGGAGATGGAACTGGCGTATGCATTATCACAAATCATGGTTACAAGGGAAATGACAAAGTAGGCTGTATACAATCTACTAACAGGGACTATCATCGTCTACAAGAGCATATTTTCATCCAAGATGATCCATTGTGTCATAGCTATAGACAAAAAAAAAGAAAATGACAAAGGAAACAAAGAAATAAACAAAAGGCAAAATATATCCACCTGAACATATATCCATATCATAAACAACGCCAAAAGACAAGAGACAAAAAGAAAAGGAAGAAGAAAGACCACCGCATTTGTGCAAAAAAAGAAAAGAAAGAAAACCCGCACCGAAATCAATCAACAAAGGAAAAGAAATCAAGCAAATTGGGAACCTATGGTGCATCCCCGAGATCAAAGAAAATATTGTTACACAATGCAGTCGCTAAATGCACATGAAGCGGGAAGACGACGGAAGGAGGAAGCCAAACGGACCCGATAGTAAGGGAGAACAAGCACTGCTGCAAGGGCCTCTTGATGAGAAGGAGGATGTGGCACAAGGCAGAAAGGTAGAAGGAGTCATGATATCATCAGTGAACAGTGTTCAATATCGGGCGTGCATCATCAATCTCCACGGCTTCATGGAGAGGTAATGAGAGAGTGGTGACGGGACGGCACTGGGTATGAGAAAGAGGAAGACTGGGAAGGGGGAAAGGCAGGAGAAGAAGGACCGGTCATAGGCGGCGTGGCAGAGAGATAGGAACTGCCAAAGGACTGCGAGGTCGAGCTGGGCATGGAGTCATAGTAGGGAGCAGCATAGGAAGGCTCGGAGGGCATGCCGGCAGCGATCTCATCGCAGAGCACCCGCATACCGGGCAGGCCGTTCTTCTTCTGGCGTTTGTGCTCGGGGAAGTCAAGAACGGGGCCGGGGCTGGTGCTCTCTGACTTGGGGGAGCGGAACATCTGCTCGTACGACTTGAGCTGGAACTCAAGGGCACGGTTGCGGTCAGCGAGGGCCTCGTTCTCGGCCTTGGTGGCCTTGAGCTGCTGCTGGGCAGTCTGGTTTTGTTGCTGTAGGGAGCTGACTAGCTGCTGCAGCTGCATGCAGCGAACCTGGGGCTGCAGCTTCTCTGAGAGCTGCGGTGTGACCTGTTCCTGCCGGATAAGG